ATACTATAGCTTCTAATGGTATGCTACCAATTATTATCACACAGCCTAAATTTCTAGTTTTTCACAAGTTGTACATCATTATGTGATTGTAACTAAGACTACATCTTCCATCCAATCACTAATAATATTTAAAATTGTCTAGGGACTGAAGAATGAACACAAAGCTAAACTGATAGGCTATTGTAAATAGAATATGAAAAAAAAAACCATAAGGAAGTAAAATTTTACCCAATTAACTTCCCTATTTATTCCTTGATTTAGAAAGTGTTTCTGTTCTACCTCCTATCACCTAATTCTGTTGATCTAAATTAAATTTTCTTTAAAATTCCGTGTTTGACATTAATTTATTGTATCTGTTGAAAGTTAATTTCTCACATTTTTCTATGGCTTTGTATTTTCAGTAGAGCTTATTTGTCTCACAGTCTAAACGATCTCTAATCCAGCCAAAGAAACTCAATTTTCACACCACTTCTCATTCTAGTAATATAACATTTGGCTTGGAAATGTCTCATTACTCTAATAGGTCTCTGGTTAGAATGTGGTGAACAGCTGTGCTTGTTCGTGTTTTCTGGATCTTTATCTGACATGCAAACTCAAGAGTACTGGGAAAAAAATACTTTTTCTACCTTATAGTACTAATCCTAGCAGAGAAATTTAAAAATTTAATTTCTTTACAAAATGTCTGTTCAGATAACCTCCCATTCTGCCATCTGGTTTACCAAAATCAATCTGCTATCTGGCTTCATAGAGTTATTTCATGACCTAAATATAAAAAGGAAAAAAATTGCCTCTGCTGTGTAAAACTCCAGTTTAAGAAACTGAAAGGAGTAGTAATGTTAAATTTTTTTTAGTGCTCTTTATTTCAATAGTTTTTGGAGACTGAGTGAATAGATGTCTATGTTCTAGGTTATTTAGGGAATATTATTATTAATAAATGTACTTTGTTCATAAGTCAGTATCACCCTTACATTTTCTATGCCTTATTTTAAATCCGAATCCCAACTGCCCTTCCAGTGTATATTGTGACTATGTGTAACCCTTGCTATGTTACCGAGTATAGCAAGGTTATAATGGAATGCAAAGGGCTTAAGAAAACCCCTTCCTTATACCAAATTTACAATTATATATGAAAAAAATACTGAAAACAAAAATCTATCTTCTCAGGACTGCTTTGCACAGATGCATCTGGTAATTATTGGGTAAGTTATTTGGGGGTGACTGTAAAGAGGAGAATATTGAGCTTCAAACATTAGACTTCCTGATTTTTCCCACCAATTTCTACTGATTTCAGCAAGTGTTAATTGAAAATCTATGAGGTCTAGCTGTTTTGAGGCACTAAGAAAAGTGGAAATGTCTGAAACACGACCAGAGATTTTGAAAACTAGGCCAAAAAAAGAACAATATGCCCAATGAAAGAAATATCACCAGAAAGCAATTCATGTGAGAGGAACATGTGCAGTAGAAGGTAACAAGGCGAGACAGGAGACAAAGCTAGAGTTTAGCGAGATTAGTGTGAGATCGAAAGGATTGGGTAAAGTGGGCCAGATTGTATGTGGCCTTCAAATGAGTCAGGGAAGACCATTTGTTAAGATATAAATGTATACGTTGCACTATTGTGAGCAGTTTTTCTTTGCCAGTGCATGTCAAAAAAAAAAAGAAGCCAAGCTTTTGTGTAATAAAAATTATTGCAACCAGCATGGTGTAACCACCTTAATTCACCTTACTCCAATTTCTGGCACCAAAGAAAACCTTGGATTGTTTATTAATCCAATAAGTGGGCAGAGGAAGTCTAAGCAATGAGAAACATTTGATTTTTCACCAGTCACATATGTGAGCTCAGAGCAGAACACAATGCATTTGGGAATACATATTTTATATTTCTTCAAATAAGGTAAACAAATGCTTTGATTACAGCATGGTTTAGGACCAGTGATGGCTGGCACTACAGCAATACTAGGAAATTAAGGAAACAAATTTGGAATTTCAATTGGAAGTTCAGCTTCAAGACTGATCCTTCTATAGGGAATATAGGAAACTCAAGAGGAAAGTGAGTTTGTTCCAGGACAACTACGGGGCAACAAAACTCTTAAGTATTAACCTTGATATTTCCAGCTAGGTTTGTCTCCCATCTACTTTAGTGAGAGCTTCTGGATAACCACTTTAAAGTTCATGGAACTCTTGTATTGGGATTTTTCATCAAGTTTTCCTAGGCAGTAATAGTTTGCTATGTCTAGCCATTAAGCATATAAGAATATGCAAATAATAACTAACCCAGATTATTATCAAGAATTTCTCTTTATATAAGAGAATTTAACTACTTGAGAGATATAACTTCAGTAATTTCTGGGTGATCTGAGAAATAATTTTTAGTCTTTCTGCCTAAAAATATACTGATGGCATTTCCCCTCATAATCCCAAGCTCCAATAACAAAGGGTAAAAGTGACCAGTCTACACTTATTTTGAGTATTCTGAAAAATGATCATATTTGGGTCTTTTAAAATCCCAATTTCCAAAAAGTGGATGACCTTTGAGTTCTAATAAGGAATTGACCCTCTTGAAACTCATCCACCATGAATATGCAATTTAAATATCATAGTTTTACATATCTTTAGCCAAAGCAATGGGTCAAATAGTAAGCATCCAACTGAAACTAATCCAATCCCAGAATCTTACCCACCTGGTCACAATGGCCAGTATAGGGTATGGGCATGTGTCATATGCTGGGCCAGTCAGAATGCTTCACCAAAATTTTTAGAAAAATATAGAAGGTGAAAGGTAAAGTTATGATATGCAAACTTGAAGCTACCAATGCCATGCTGCCCAAAATGTGGAAACAGTCATTCAAGTCTCTAGTTTCAATTCTGGAGGTTTCCAGAACTTCCCTAGGTTCTGCATCACCACAGTGCTTTAGTTAATGTACAGTCTAAACTGCTATAACAAAGAGGAACAAAAATGCAGTGCTCAGAAAACAGTAGTTTCTTTCTAATGTAATAATCTAGCTGTAGGCAAGCAGGAAGGAAGAGAATGAAGGTTCTGCTCTTCTAAGTTATACACAGGACAATATCCCTTCTAACCTTTGCTCCTTGGAAAATTGTTCTTGTGTATGGTATAAGATCTGGCACACACTATATTGTCTCCATAACAGAATTTAGCCGAATATCCATATCTAGCTCTAGGGAGGAAGGGAAGAGTGCTGGCTGAGAAATACAGGCTTTAGCTGGACATATCTATGCATATACTTTAAAAAGGGGTTGTTCTAAGGGAAGAAAAGGAGAATAGATATCTGCAGCATGTGTCAGTTTCAACCTGACAAGACATGTTTCTTCAGTGCTTCCTTAAATTCTGTGAGCTACTCCAGTTTTTTACCTAAACTGCTTTGAGTAAGTTTCTATAATTTGCTAATATAGAGTGGTAATAATACTGTGAGTCACTGGGATTTTTGACAGAAATTCAAGTTCTAGAGTAAATAAATATCATTGAAATTTTACCTGAAATTTCAGTTGTCCCAGGCTCTGGTGAAAATTAAATATTTAGTTAAAGAACATTAAACAGTTCAGAATCCAGATTTGGGAGATTTAACATCAAGTTAGAGAGTGACTAACTCACCCTGCTTTGTCTGAAAATTTCTTAATTTCATCACTAAAAATCTTGTATTCCAGGAAGCCCATCAGTCCCTGAAAAACTGGGATGGTTAGTGATACCCTCATGTCTGAATGATAATAATTGGACCCCTAGTTTCTGTCTGCATCCAGCTTCATTGGCTAACCTGCACCCTGATGACCTTATTACCCTCTGGTTCTCCAGTAATCCCAAATTTGAGTAATCTCAAGATTTCTCTTGTACATTCTCATGAAGCATGGTAATTTTATCATGAAATCGCAGAGCTATGGTTGTGACTATATTCTGGCTCTTACTGGCTAAAAACTAGTCATCGAATTTGGAATACGAACTAGAAAAATATCTTCTGGGCTTTATTTCCAGAGCCACTTACCACAATCACTGACATATAAATATGCCAAAAAAAAAAAAACCCAGTTTCGTGAGCCTTCACATATTGCCTGTTCGTAGACTCCCCAGTCACAATGATCCACATCCCTGCTTGAGTGTCTGCCCTCCACATTGCAGTGAGTCTTCTTATTGTCAGTGTCCTGCTAGCCTATGTGCTACTTGACAATCAGAAATGTCTGTCTGCCTGAGCTGCCATTCTTCATATCCAACAGGCTCAGTCCCCAGGTATCTGCATCACTCCAGTGGGTGTGAATAATATGAAATCCCACTGAGTTATTCTCTGGACAATTTTTTTAATGACGATTAAGTTGTCATTAAAATTCACTGCAAATTGTTAGTAATTAGGAACTAAATAGCGTAATAGATTAGGCAATGGATATTTTCTATCACAAACAAGGTTTAATGCTCTTTCTCTTTTTTCTCAAAATCCAGCCTTGCCTTTCTCACTATTTGGGAATCTAAATCCACCGACTTAGAATTCCCTTGAAATCCTCTGTGAGCCAAGCACTTAGGTTTCCAGTAAATGCCTTTAATTATTGCAAGGCTTCCCAAAGAAGGTGTCCACCTTTGTGAACAGGCCACTACTGAGAATCTCCGACCTCACTTCTCACCATCACACTTTCACACCTGCAGATCAGCCACACAGCTGCTCTCTGTCTCCCACTATGGCCCACTCCACCTTAGTTCTAGGGCTTTCATATACAGTCATCTGCCACTCAATGACCTTTTGGTCAATGTTAACCAGCATATAAGATGGTGGTCCTATAATTGAAAACTTCCTATTGCCTAGTGACGTCATAGCCATGGTAACGTCATAGCTCAATGCATTACTCATGTGTTTGTGGCAATGCTGGTGTAAACAAACCTACTGTGCTGCCAGTAGTATAAAAGTGTAGCACATACAATTACATATGGTACATAATACTTGATAATATATGACTAGGTTACTGGTTTATGTATTTACTATATTAAACTTTTATCTTTATTTTAGAGTGTACTCCTTCTACCTTAAAAAAATGTACGGTAAAACAGTGTGCTTCATATATCTGGAGTTTATCACATCTCTTGATTGCATCATTTTCTCTTATGATTGATTTAATCCCATGCTGTTTTGTTCATCACGGCTAAGCATGCAAAATCCACTGTTAATGTTGCCAGTAAGAGGTCCCTTCGAGTGATTGACCTGGAAACTAAATTAAAAGTGATTAAGGACTACAAAGCTGGAAAATCAGTGATGGTTACTGCTCACCTGGCAGCCATGTCCCATTCCACCATAGCTACAATTCATCTTGAAGAACAAGAACAAAGGGAGGAAGCTGTTTAAGGATCTGCTTCGTGAAGGCAACAAGACTAATAAAAATTCGAGAAGGGTCTCTATCAGTGACCTGGATTAAAGACCAAGCACAGGAGCGTGTGCCTCCCAGCATCACGACAATCACAGCCAAAGCAAAAGTCTGTGATGTTGGAAGAAAAGGCTGGACCTGACTATAATGTTGAATTTACTGCCCGACCTGGGTGGTATGAGGATTCACGAATCATTATTCATTACATAATGTGAAAGTGAGTAATGAGTCTGCAAGTACTAATGTATAGGCAGCTGAAGAATTTTTGGAAACTTTATATAAGCTGAAGAAAATCTGAAGAATTTATGAAGAAAAATTACTTGCCAAAGAAAATCTTCAATATGGATAAAACCTCTCTATTCTGAAATTGGATGCCTGAAAAGACCTTTCATCCATAAGGAAGCCAATTCAACTCCAGGTTTCAAGACTTTTAAGGACAGGATATCGGTCTTGCGTGGAGGCAGTGTGGCAGGCTACAGGTTGGAACCTTTTGTGATCCAGTGAGAACCCCAGGGCCTTCAAGCATATCAGTAAACACACACTGCCAGTGCACTGCAGGAGCAACAAGAAGTCGTGGATGACCCAGCTCCTCTTCCAAGATGCCCTCCTGAATTGCTATGCCAGGGAAATGAGTGAGTGCTGTTTGGAGAACAACATACCTTTCAATATTTTGCTTATTATTGATAATGCTTCTACACATCCCTCTTTTATTGGTGATCTTCATCCCAATATCAAAGTGGCATTTCTCCCTCCAAATGGATCAAAGAGTTGTAGCAGCTTTTAAGGCCTACTTTCTAAGGAGGACCACTGCCTAGGCTGTTGCTGCAACTAAAGAAGACATTGGTGCAATTCTGGAAGGATTACAATATCTGCAACTTTATCAAAAACCTTTCTTGGTCTTGGGGTGATATCACCAAGGAGTGGATGCATGGCATCTGGAAGAAGACACTCAAGAGGTTCGTTCATGACTTTAAAGGGTTTGTCAAGGATGAGGAGGTTGCAGAATTCAACAAGGCTGTGGTTGAGAAGGCAAATAACTTTAACCTGGGTTTGGAGGATGACACTGAGGACCTCCTAGAGGTGAGTCCTGAGGAATTGACTAATGAGAAGTTGTTAGAACTGGAACAGGAATACATGCTGAAGAAGAGGCAAGGGAAAAGGAAACTGAGGAGAAGAAAAAGAAGAACCCCCAAGAAAATCCACAGTGAAGGGTCTAGCAGGCCAGGCATGGTGGCTCACGCCTAGCACTCTGGGAGGCCAAGGTGGGAGGATTGCTCAAGGTCAGGAGTTCGAGACCAGCCTGAGCAAGATTGAGACCCCATCTCTACTATAAAGAAATTAATTGGCCAACTAAAAATATATATATAGAAAAAATTAGCCAGGCATGGTGGCACATGCCTGTAGTCCCAGCTACTTGGGAGGCTGAGGCAGGAGGATTGCCTGAGCCCAGGAGATTGAGGTTACTGTGAGCTATGCTGACGCCACGGCACTCTAGCCCGGGCAACAGAGCGAGACTCTGTCTCAAAAAAAAAAAAAAAGAAAAAAAAGGGTCTAGCAGACGCTTTTGCAGACCTCAACAAGCTTCTTAAAAAGTTTGAACACAACAAAAAGTTTGACCCCAACACTAAAAGGTTTTTATTGATAGAAATAATCATGGTGCATTGCCTGCTTATGAGCAAATCTAAGATTTTAAAAAAGAAACAAATCGCTATGGACATATTTCTGAAAAGAATGACACCTCCTCATGAAGGGCTCAGGAAGGTCCTTCAGGAAGTATCCAGAAGAAGGCATTGTTGCCACAGGAGATGACAGCTCCACGAGTGTTATTCCACTGAAGACCTTCCCGTGGGACCACATGTGGAGGTGGAAGACAGTGATAGTGGGAATCATGAACCTGTGGAGGCCTAGGCTCATGTCTGTGTTTGGGTCTTAATTATTAAGAAAAACGTTTAAAAAGTAAAATAAATAAATAAACAAAAATAGAAAAAACTTATAGAATAAGAATATGAAGAAAGAAAATGTTTTTGTACAGCTGTATAATGTGTGTTTTAAGCTGTTATTACAAAAAAGTCAAATAGTTAAAAAAAAAAGTAAAAGTTTATAAGATAAAAAATTACAGTAAGCTAAGGTTAATTTATGATTTAGAAGAAAAACATTTTTAAATAAATTTAGCATAGCCTAAGTGTACAGTGTTTATAAAGTCTACAGTAGTAATGTCCTAGGCCTCCCATTCACTGACCACTCACTCACTGACACTCTTTATGTTTATACAGAAATCTTACTTCTTATAAACCTAATATTTTAATCCATTAAGTTTCATTTCCTATCAACATAAAAAAGGAACTTGATATATTGAAATTTACATGTATACACACACACACACACACACACACACACACACACACACACACATATATATATATATATATATATATATATATATATATATATATTTTAGGACAGATTCTCTCTCTGTCACCCAGGCTGGAGTGCAGCATCATCATCATAGCTCATTGAAACCTTAAACTCCTGGGCTCAAATGATTCTCCTGACTTGGTCTTCCAAGTAGCTGGGACTACAGGTATGCACTACCACACCTGGCTAATTTTAATTTTTTTTTTTTTTTTTTAGAGAAAGGATCTTGCTATGTTGCCCAGGCTGGTCCTGGACTCCTGGACTCCTGGCCTTGAACAATCCTCCTGCCTTAGCTGCCCAAAGTGCTGGGAGTACAGGTGTGAAGCACCATACTTCCCTTGTGTCACATGGAATTATTATGGTTGCTTTTACCTATCATGGTTTGTCCACTGGAGTATTATTAAATTTGTTCCACTGCTTTAGCTAATAAACCAATTTGCCTACCTGATTTCTAGTTTTTGTTCCTTTGTGGCATTTTAATTACTATCCCTCAAGTCTGAGACATACACATCTATAATTTCATTCTCATCCAAACACATTCTTTTTTGAAATTGTCCCTTTCATATGTATTCTTTTAAATGCACAGGTGTTGGTGGCTTTATCGGGACCATATGATTCTATCCTATTGGACATAGAGGATTAGACCAAAGGTAGACACATAAGACAGTGGAAATTCATGCATATTATTTATTTTGCCAATCAAATTTTTCCATATCAAAACTGTGAACTAGGGGTGCCAAACTTGAATGAGTCTGGTGACTTGGGACTCTGAAGTCATAAATTAATGTGGATCTGAGGCCAAAATTGGCACTGAGGCAAGCCGGAATCGTAGAAGTCAAATCTACAGAAAATCAGAAAGATAATTATGGGGAAAAAATCCTAGCCTACAAATGTAAAACAAAACAGATGGAAAGAGTAAAGTACATGACAGCCAAGAGAGAAATAGAAATAGAGACCAAGACAGAGTCAGAAAGAGAGAGAAAAACAGAGAGACAAAGGGATTGCTACACTGACTTTTGCTGCTGCAATGACACCTCCTTGCATTTCCTGTGGTAGATTACACGAAATGCCCTGTATTCTGATAACCAACACCCTTGTCACCAGAAACTCTTTCAATGTTCTGTTCATTAAAACAGAATGCTCTCTGCCCTAGAAATTTGTCTTTCTGCCTTTTCCCTTTCAAAAAATTTAGCCACCGCTACCAAGCTAAGGTTCTGAATACCTGAATTTGTGTTTTCTATATACATCTTGTGGTTACCTTTTATCTTTAGAGATTAGAACCAGAGAATCCCACAAGACTGGACCTTTCACTTATTTCACTCATCTTGTTTCACAAATGAGGGAACTGAGACCCACCCATAGAACTGAAGTGACACGATGTCAGTGGAAAATGATATATATTATATCATATATTATATATAATATAATATATTATATAATGTGCCTCATATATAATAAATCCTTTTGATTTTTTTGGATTTCCAGCCTAGAATTATTTTACTCTATCAATGATATGCTTATATCTCACGTATATTTGAATTTTTCTGCACAGTGAAATGTGCAGGACAATTCCTTCTCTAGAATCCTTTGTCCATAGCAGTAGCCACAGAGTAGTGGATGCCACACCTGCGGTCTGTGACGCTACGCCTTTTTCTCAGTCGGCTCAGTGGGGCAGATCTCTTTGAGAGCTGCTGTCCTATTTGTCATGTTTCTGGCGGTCACTTTCTAGCCTCAGTTGGCTTGCACTCTGCTTGGCACCATGGTGTTGCTGGAGTATTCTTTCTGTTTGCTCTACTCTGTCACTTCCTGGGCGGTATAGATGGCTCCACCCAGCTCCCTGCACAGCTACTGCTCTGGAATATACTGTTGTCATCCCTGCCTTTCACGTGACCAGCCTAGGGAAAATGAGTAATATCAGTTGAACTGATCTTACCGTTTGTGTTCCTACAAGATCAGCTCGTGGTGTTAGACTTGGTTAAGATTTTTTTTTTTTTGAGATTTGGGTTTAATAAATAGTGATTAACGTGTCTAAATATCTTTAGGTAAATATTAATGATTCCAAAGTGCAGAAGGAATTACTATCAAATTCTCTTGGTTTTCTTTCTATTCATCTTCTCCCATCAAATATATACACACATGTGCAGGAACATAAGCACATGCATGCACAAACGTGAACATACACATAAAACTCTCTCTCCTGTAAAATCTGCTTTAAATGTGTTTTAAACAAAGAAGGACAAAAGAACCAGCATTCACTCAAATTATCTCCTCCCACTTTCAAGTTTGAGAGAGAAAATGGCTCTGTACTTAAAAAGATTTGAAAGAGCACAAATTTAATAATTTGCCAGCTTTGAGTGGGTCCCTGAGAAGGAAAGGTCTCTGCAGCAGATCCAGGCTTTAGTTAAAGTAATCCTGCCACTTAAGCCACAGAGCACAGAAACTCTATGATAGTGGAGTTACCAGTAGTGACAAAAAATGCCATATGGCACTCTCCAAAAGAGAATCACAACATAGGCATATGGGGTTCTGGAGCAAGGCTTTGCCATATGTAGTAGAGAAGGATATATTTTTGAAAAATAATCCCTAGCATGACACTGGCTCTTGGTAGAGATAAGTGCCTAATGGATATCATGCAGCTGAAACTTTCTACTTGGTTTTGTCAGAGCCACTAAGTCATACAGCCAGGTGAGTCCAGCAGCAACCCTATGTTAAGATGGAAGTGGTAGATCCCAAATCAAGAGTGAATCAGATAAAAAGGCACAAGGAAGCCACACAACCAGGTGAACCAGGCCCAGATCTCCCACCATCGTGTTGTGTCAGTGACCTTCCCTCCTTGGCTCATAGCTGTTGTCACACGAGGGCTCTAGTGTGACCAGCTGGCAGAAGATAAAATAGCCCACCCTTGGTTTGCAGATGGGTCTACTTGATATGAAGGTACAAACTGAAATGGCAGCAGCTACACAGCAGCCTCATTCAGGAAAGGATTTGAATGACAATGGGAAGTGAGAAAGAGAAACCTCTGAATGGGCAGAGCTTCAGGTGGTAAACCTGGCTGTGCATGCTGTGTACACAGAGGATTCAATGCTTAGAGAGCTCTAGGTAGTGTCGAATGCCTGCCTAGCTGTGCAGGGGCTTGGGAAGAGAAAGGTAGGAAAACTGTAGATAAGATGACTTGCTTGGGGTACAGGCATGGGGTGAACATATGGGAATAGGCACAAAGTGTGAATATCTTTGTATCACATATGAACTGTCACAGGAGAGTATCTAACAAGTAATAAGTAAATTTTGGCTGACTGTATTCAGCTGGTCTGTGCTGTTGACCATGCCAGCATGGACACCATGGGCATATGAATCTAAATAATTTGGGGGGCCCTGGAAGTAATGTAGGCTAAGCATGGGCCCCCCAAAAAGGGGCTTCCACTTACCAAAGATTGCTTAACTACTGCTACAACTGAATGCCCAACTTGTTAGCCGAACTTGGGCAAATTGCCTAGCCATCCAAGCTTTCTTGCTTTCTTGGTCATGAGAATAGAGAAAATAACATCTACCTGTCAGGTTGCCATGAGAATTAAATCAGATAATAAGTTGGAATCCTCAATCATAAATATGGAATTAATAAACATCTGGTTATTTTTAAAAATTTTTCCAGCATATTATGATGGTACAAATGTTAAGGTTACGTATATTGCCCTTGCCCCCTCCCTCAAGTTAGAGCTTCAAGTGTATTCATCCCCCAGTTGGTGCGCATCACACTCATTATGTATGTTTATACCCATCCCCTTCCCCCCAACCTGCCCAACCCCCGATAGATGTTATTCCTATATGTCCACTTAGGCGTTGATCAGTTAATACCAATTTGCTGGTGAGTACATGTGGTGCTTATTTTTCCAGTCTTGGGATACTTCACTTAATAGAATGGGTTCCAGCTCTAGCCAGGAAAATACAAGAGATGCTATAATAAACATCTTGTTATTGATTAAAGCTGTCAGTGAAAACTAGACCATTCCTCTCCTTAAGACAGATGCAATTAAGGTATGACAAAGGTGTCCATTCACTAGTGTTCATTTCTGAACACCTCCAGACTAGCTGTACCTTGTCTGCCATCCCTTGGCCCAGTGAAGAATGAACCCTCATGACATTCCAACAGCCCAGGTGAGACCCTCAGGTCTGTTTCTGAGGCAGTAGGGGCGGATTTGTGAAAGTGCTAAATATGGAACCAGAGGCCCGACTTGGAGCCCGGTCTCTGCCACTTACCCTCACTCTGTGTGAAAGTAAGTTACACTTCAGCAAGATTCCTGATGCACAAGAGTGCTCTGGCACAGTGGTCATTGAAGCAAAAAAGCCAATAGTCTATCAACATTAGAATAAAAAAAATTTGTTATGTTCATATATTACAACATGGGACAACAGGAAAATGAAATAATTAAATCTATAGGATCAACACGTTTGAATTTCTTTAATGGACTATTGGGCAAAAGAGACAAGAAAAACACACACAATTGATTTCCTTTTATAGGTAATGTCAAGCAGTTCTTGAAAAGGTAACTACAACTTTAAACCTCATGAGCAAGTCGGTGGGCGATATTATTGCTCCACATTCTCAAAAGCACTCTGTAATATTTGGGATATCAATCATTGTCGGTTATATATAAAATAAATATCTTCAACTTTGAAGCTTGTCATTTCAGTCCCTTTAAGGTATCTTTTGATATACAGAAGTCCTTGGGTTTTATGAGCTCATTTATTAATCTTAGTCTTTATAGTTTGTACTTTTGTTCACAAAGAATAATGGATTCATCTTTGTTATTCAATGCATCACAATTACTGTCATTATTCTTATTTGTTGCTCAAATTATCAAATTTGTCAAGTGGGAGCCCTGCCTAGCCAGGTCTTGTGGCTTCTTTGTTTGCCAGTCTTATATAAGAAAAATGATATCTGTGTAGTTTAAATCTGTATATGTTTTTTTCAGAGCGGAGCTGAAATTCTTTTCATATTTAAGAGCCAATTGGTATCTTCTATTATCCATCTGTTTATGTTTTCTGTGCATTTGTTAATTGGATTATGGTCATTTTATTCTTAATTTTTAAGAATACTTAATATATTAAAGAGAATAACACTCTGTCTGTGATATAAGTTGTAAGTTACAAATATATTTTTTCCCAATTTGATATTTGCCTTTTATTTTGCCTATGGTTTTGTCTTGCTTTGTTTAGCTATTGCTACTAACAAGTTCTTTTCTTATTTTATATAAG